CCTGTGGGGCAAATCCTATATTCCCAGTGGGGCAAATCCTATATTCCCAGTGGGGCAAATCCTATATTCCCAGTGGGGCAAATCCTATATTCCCTGTGGGGCAAATCCTATATTCCCAGTGGGGCAAACCCTATATTCCCAGTAAGGCAAATCCTATATTCCCTGTGGGGCAAATCCTATATTCCCAGTGGGGCAAATCCTATATTCCCAGTGGGGCAAATCCTATATTCCCAGTGGGGCAAAGAGACCTTAAGATTGACGTTTACGGCAAACGTCAAACCGCTAGCGAGGTGTTTAATTTTACAACTCTATTATTATAGCTTTTACACCAGTTTTGAAATATGTTAAACTTATTAAACTTGTGCTCTTTAGCAATGATTTAAGAAAGCAAATTAACCACAAATCATGCCATTCACCAAAGCAGTAAATTAAGATTTGGCGTTTGAAGTTGACGTTTGGCGTATAAATTTCATGCTTTAACGACTACAAGCCCTCGTAGCAGTTCAAGCATGAATTTTATACGCCAAACGCCAACTTCAAACGCCAAATCTTAGTTTACTGCTTTGGTGAATGGCATGACTAGTGGTTAATTTGCTTTCTTAAATCATTGCTAAAGAGCACAAGTTTAATAAGTTTAACATATTTCAAAACTGGTGTAAAAGCTATTATAAAAGAGTTGTAAAATCAAAAACCTCACTAGCGGTTTGACGTTTGCCGTAAACGTCAATCTTAAGGTCTCTATTCCCAGTGGGGCAAATCCTAATATTCTCAGTGGGGCAAATCCTAACCTCACTAGCGGTTTGACGTTTGCCGTAAACGTCAATCTTAAGGTCCTAGCGGTTTGACGTTTGCCGTAAACGTCAATCTTAAGGTCTCTATTCCCAGTGGGGCAAATCCTAATATTCTCAGTGGGGCAAATCCTATATTCCCAGTGGGGCAAATCCTATATTCCCAGTGGGGCAAATCCTATATTCCCAGTGGGGCAAACCCTAATATTCCCTGTGGGGGAAATCCTATATTCCCAGTGGGGCAAACCCTATATTCCCAGTGGGGCAAACCCTATATTCCCAGTGGGGCAAATCCTATATTCCCAGTGGAAATCCAATTTTGAAAGTGAAAAGGTAGGCAAATCCCACTTCTCATGTTACCCTTTCAAGAAATTTATATAACTTTATTTCCTATACCTCCTCGAGTAAGTGCGTCAATAAAACATCTTACGATCGCTGTCCTTCTTGCTGCTGCATATTCGTCCACAGAATATCTAAAACAACCAAGAAGTCTGTAACTCTCGAGCTTGCAAATCACCATAACCACACTACCGTATCTAGTGCTATAGTACAGTATTCTACATGGCAAACATGACATTCATGCAAGTGTTTGAACAATCTGTACATGACCTCAGTGGCGGGCTGGCTCCTGTTCGTCAGGGGAGACCACCTTAAAACCTGGCGCCCACCGTTATAAATTTTCGAAAGATGTATCGACGGGAGGGGGCATGGCCCCCCTTGATCCCCCCCCCATGCCCCCACACCACAGCTGAGTAATTAAACAGAGCAGAGAATGTTAGTTAATAACATTTCATAAGTTAATGTTAAATCCTACTCACTTAAGTAAAACAGGCCTGTTTTGTAAAACTGCCATGGCATTTTGTAGATTTGGCATTATCTCTGGTACGTCTCCAGTCAGACCTCGACACTCAGCTGAAAATGAAATACTTAACTATTACAAAGTAACATTTTAAACACAGGTACCAGTTTCTACGGTATACACATGCTCAAACGCTGGGTGGCTAGCTATGAACCTACATACTGTAATCCCCGAGCCGGCGGCGCGAAGCGCCGTGCGAGGGTACTAATTCCGCACGGCTAATTATACCCGAGTACGTGAAAACATAGCGGAGTGCAAAGTTGGTAATCGTTCCATGTTTCGCGCACCAATATAGTAAACGTCATGTAATGGATATTATAGTGTACTGAAAAGTTAACTGGATACCTCCATACACGTATATACACACCCTAAACCTATCCCTAACCTTAAACCTAACCCTAACCCCTAACCTAACCCCTAACCCTAATACCTAACCCCTAACCCTAACTTATATTGGTGCGCGAAACATGGAACGATAACCGCAAAGTTGTCCTCCATTTTGTTTTTGTCATGGACGGTTTTCGACGTTATGCGCATGCGTATATACAAACTCTGTCGAAGTAATTGTTTTTCATTTTGAAAGGACGTATTTTGCTGTTTTACAAGCAATTTTTTGTTTTAAATTTCGTTAAAAAATTTACAGAAGTACAACACGGTTTTTTTCTCGATTTCAACTGGAAATAAGCCTGCAGTTTCATGAATTAGTGGCTGTTCAACCGTGAAACATAGTTTGTATTTTCATTGTTTTGATGTTTTGATGTTGATGTTTTTGATAATTTAATCGTTGTTGTGCCGGTTTGGGTAAGTGTAAACATTTCAGTAGTAAAATTCCATGCCGTACTTGCTTTGTGTTGTCGGTTTTGTTGTCGGCGAAATTTTTAAGCCATTCTTAACTCGATAATTCACTTTAATGCAAGCTGGTATGCATGAAATTGCAGTGAATGTTATCGTTCATTATAAAGCAGCGCATCAGTTGTGTTTTTGTTTGTTTATAATGGTCTTAATACTTTATGTGGAGTTTTTATACTTCATCTGTTAAGAAAGGCGAGGGGTTGCTGCATGCATATATTTTCTAGTTACTTACTACATACTGCAAACGAGATATAGTGGAGCGCGTTGGAAATGTTCTGGAACGTAGACGGAAGACATTGAGCGTGTCCAGAACATTTCTCCACCGAACGCGTTCCGAACAGGAATAAACTCGTAATTATGGTTAGATAATGTGTTAGATTACTTCTGAGCAGTAATACGAAGAGCTCGAGAAAATGCTCAATCCTCACGGATTGCACGGATTGCACTCTGTACAACAATAATACCACCCTAATACCGTTATTTCACTCGTATATAAACTTACTTACACATTAGTCACTGAAGATATATGTACATGTTTATACTGTACGCCCGCATTGAAATATTCACGAAGGGTACCGTAAAACGAATTCAAAATATAGTATAATATACGTTTTTTAAAAAAATCCCCATTACATTTTTTCACGAGTTTTCCGGAATACATGATTGTTTAATTGTTTTTTAGGTAACCCGCGTTTTCAACCAAATTTATATTGAATGCGATCATTTCCAGGAAAGTCAGAAGTCTTGTGCTCTCGATATATAAACAAATTGGAACGGTGCATGGTAGTGTTTCATCTTTTGCCCTTTGATTGTCTAATTTCACAATCAAAGATATATGGTTTATAGGGGAATAACATATTAAAATTTGAAGGGAGATATTCATGAATAGCGACTACAGAAAATCTGTCTTGTACAATTTCTTAAAATTTTGATATGTCATGCTTAGCAAATGTGCAAAGTTTAAAGGTGATCTACAGTCCGATCTGCGCATGTGCACAAATGAGCCCACTTTTTATGATACAAACAGTTTAACTATGTTTTGAGTTCTTGAAAAGCCTGATTGTTGTTTCTTGATCATTTATTATACTCTAGAAGCTTGAAAATATAAATAGTTGTCGAATAAAGCTCAATATTTTGGACACAAAAATGTAAACAAAGGCTTTGTTTACATACGGACTGTAGATCACCTTTAAAAAAATTTCACCGAAGGAAACGCGAGAAAAATAGCCCTAAAGTCCAGTTGAAGCTGCTGACGTGACAAAATATCGTATATATTAAGGCCGAGACACACCGGACGTGATTCGACAACGCGGCGCGATTTTTCGATTTTCACTGAGCAATAACTTTGATCCTGGTTTAAGTTTTTCAAATATTTAGAAGCGCTATACATTTTGAGTTATTTGGTCTACATATCTTTTAAAATTTCCTTTGATTGGCTGTTTTATTAACTTTCAAAAACAGAAGATCGCGCGCGTTATCGAATGGCGTCTGGGCCTTTAGGCTCACTGTGAGTGTGTAAGTAGCATGAAAAATGGTCAGGTATCAGCCTGGAGCCTAACTTCTTACCTTATAATTTCGTGCACTTTAGACGCCACGGAGGCGCCAGCCCGGGTAATGTTTAATTTGTACCGGTACTATTACGGATGTCACCGAAGTGTGCGAGCCACTAAAATTTCGCACGACCGCCACGCCCACAAAGCGTTAGCGACCCGCCCACAAAGGCATACACGTTTTGTCTCAAAACTTTGCTGTGTTTTTCTCGGTATATTCGAGCGTGTATTTGTTTATACTGAAAATGCTGTCTATGAAAGGAAAAAGGTACGAGTTTAAGGTCGAATATGACTCATATGGTCATCATAAGAATTATTCTAAATTTTTCTTACGCGAGGAAGAGATAAAGCGATTTAGTTCGGAGTTATTAGTGAAATACTTGCATGAAAAATGTGACATTTCCCCGACTGAGCTGTTGCGTATTAGATACATGGACAGAGACAAGGATTGGATTGATCTAAGATGCGATGACTTTGACTCATTAGTGGATATGATCGAAACAGCTGAGCCTATTCCAGACCGCGAAGATGCAGTTCGAATCGTTTTAAAAGTATCGAGTTACCCTTCATCCAAAGAGCCTGCCACGCAGGCTACTTCATCTCAGAGCAGTGAAATCAGCTCAAAGTCAAAGAGATTTTACTCGCCGTCTCCTAATAGTAAGCAAAACACTTCACAAAAACGATTTAGAAGTAAACGTAATTTAAATGACAATCTTGAGGACAATTCTAGACCTGCTTTAATCAATTTGTGCGATGATAACCAAACCAGTGTTGTCGAAGACGAACCCGTTGGGTTTGAATACCCCAATATAGAACAATACATATCACCGACACAGAAATATTTTGATAAAGTTGAAACGGACGAACAAAAGCTGCGAGTAACAATTGAGGAGAAAGAGCAAGATTTGTTGGAACTTGAAGAGAGTTTCCGAGAACCTGAAGATTTCATTAAGTTGCCACTATGTTCATATTGCCATACCCCTGGCCATAACAAGACTAATTGTTTGTTTACACCGTGCGAATCGGCCTCATATTGTCATGAAATAAAACGCCATCCGGATGAAAACAAATTTTTAAAGGAACAAAAAGAAGAATTGAAAACCTTGAAGGGTAAGCTACACCGACTACAAGATGATCTGAAGGGCAAGAGACAAATGTTGAAAGGCATTAAGGATACTTTTGTTGCAAAAGTACAAACAGATTTGATAAGTAGCAACCCTAAAAAGTATCTTCGCAAAAGCACAACTGGCCATTTTATTCCCAACTGGCTGATAGTAAATTGTGATGTGAGAAAGTTAGAAAGAATTTGTCAAGGTAAAGTGCCATCGAAATATGAAATACCTTCCCTTCTCAAAAAATACAATGAACGCTTCGATGTTCGTGACACTTCTTCAACCGAAAACGAGCAAACCGTCAGTAAACATGTTAATCCAGTGAAATCATTGTGGGAAAAAAAGGGAATTACATTTCCAGGTCGTGGTTCACTCCCTAATAGTACTGTTGTAAATAGGGGGAACGTCGAAGCCATGGCGAGCACATCTGTCCTTGATGTATCTGTACCAAATACTAAGCGCGAAGAAGAATATTTGATACAGATTGCAGTGAATCAAAGTTTACAATGCAATCAGCGTCCATGTGAATCGGGATATTCTCACGAACGTGCTTCCCGTTCAACCGCAAAAATACAGTCAACAGATGCAGAAGAAGACGTGAGTGGTTTAGGTTTGCTCTTGGAAGCTGCAAATATTGTTGAAAAAAAGTGACACATAAGTATATACTTATATGATCATATGTACATCTACAAGCTAGGGATAAATCTATCTCGAGTTTAGTTAATTTGGTGTTGACATTTTTAACTTCTAATTTCTATATTGAAAAGGTTTTCATATTTGTTCTTTTACATGAACATGACGTTATATTTCATGTTGTGTTGTGTTTTTACAGTAAAATTCATGACTTATTGACACATTTACATCAGAGCCAGTGGCAGGAACAGTTTTTGCCCAACACTCAACAATTTTCAAAACATGCCATTTTATACACTTTTTGTTGCACAAACAAATATTATATATAGATTGCAGTCAAAATACAAAGTGCCCCACCCACTTATGCAGTTTGTTGTGATTTAATACTATAAATACATTGCATTTATTAATGTTCTGTTGTCCTGTAGCGGTAGAACAACTGCACGAGTACAATAATTCACAACAGACTACAGACTGAAGCGGATTGTACATGTGGGACACTTGTATTTTGACTGTAAAAGCTTTTCAATAGATAATTTTCAATAATCAGATTTTCAATTCGAATACTGGTAAAATTTATGATTTTTGTACCCAAAACTCAACGGAAATAAAAAATCAACAGTTTTATACTTTTAACATAATTATGAACATTGCATGTAACATTATCGGTTTGGGCCATGGCCAATTTTGTTTAGTTTGCTTGCCCACTGTCTGTCCAAATTGTTGTCATTTAATACAGTAATAGTGTAATACTCCATATTTACCACCATTGATATATAGTAAAGCATAAAAGACGGTATAAAAGCGGGCTAAATGGAAATATTTGTCTATTAATAATACTGCCTAGTATATTGCATGATTTAGTTGAGTTAACTATATGTAACTGATTCCATAACAATTACAGGTAACATTTTAGATATCAATATATCCAGTATAACGGTAAAATCCATGCATATCGTTTGGTTCTATTTGCTTCAAGCCTTCAAAAACGGCAACATGCAGGTTGTCTCTCAACAAGTCTCTGTACTCTGCTCTTTTCAACACTGTTTTTAGTTTGTTGAATACTAGTTCTACCGGGTTCAGTTCTGGCGAATAAGTCGGTAGGTACATAAGTACACAACCTATATCATCCAGCCATTCGCCAAGGACTTGCCCACCTTGAAAATGGTGAATTGAACAGTTGTCCATTATAATATGGTCACCATATTCGAGTATGGGTTTGCCATCAGGCTGGAAATTTCGCGATGCTTCACCAAAAAACTCGAGAAATTTTACTGTGTTGCTTGCCCCGCGCGTTGTGTTGGTGTACATTATACTGTCTGCTCCTGACAATAGGTTGAGCGTAATATTTGGTGTCTGTGAGTTTCGCTGAATCTCAACACACGGTTTTCCAACCAACGAGTGGCCATATTTAGGGTTCCCTACATCAGGGAGTTTTACGCCTGCTTCGTCAAAAAATTTAAGGCGAAAAGGGTCTACTGTTGAAACGTAATTTAAATATTCCTGACAATAAGCGATATTTTCTGGAGTGAATTTTTCTGCGGCAGGTCGACACATTACTTTCCTCGACCATTTCCCATCGTGCATAAAGTTCCTCACTGCCCTGTTTATCGCTTCTCGGCTTGTCCCTTCGGGAATAACACAGTGGCGTTCAACTTCCTTGAGCAAATCGCCTGATGACATGGATGGTTTATCAGTCTTGAGGAATTCTATGAAGTCTAAGTCTTCAGGTTTTAAATGTTTGACACCAGATGCGCATGATTTTTTTGGCTTTAGTTGCCCAGATTTACAAAATTGCATCCAAACCTTTTTCGTAGTCTTAGGAGATAGTTTGAACTTAGAAGCAACTGCACTGTACTGTTCAAAAAAGCCTGTCGCAGTATCGCCACCCATATCTACTATTTCATCGATTACAAGGGAGACCATATCCTCGCTTAATGCTTTTCCCCGCACATAATTTCTCCCATATTTATTTACATCTCCCATTTTTTCGCTACGAAATCTACAAATACTACAATCGCAATAATACAATAACAATGCAAGTTTGTGGGCGGGTCGCTAACGCTTTGTGGGCGTGGCGGTCGTGCGAAATTTTAGTGGCTCGCACACTTCGGTGACATCCGTAGTATATATTACATGTTCTAATTAAATTATACTTTACTTTATCCATATATAAACTGCAGATTTACCCTGTGTCCATCTGTACAACCTTTCATAAGCGGATTCCATAAATAGCGCCATTGATTCCATTATTTCCAGTCTAAAATAATATGGATTGTATAGTGAGGCAAAACAACACTGAAATTTCAGAAGAGTCAAAACGACCTCAAAAGACCCCAGAACGACTCTTTTGGAGTCGTTTTAACTCTTTTGTGGGGTCATTTTGACTCTATTGAATTTACAGTGAGACCATTCACGAAGACGAACAAGTTTTGCAATATTTTCCTGCTTTAAATTTATCAATGGTATATACATACAGCAATAAACTCACCCAGCTGTTTGCTGTTTCGTTCTCAACAGTAACTTGCAATCGCTGTGAATCACCTTCACTCTCGATAACGCTGAGAAAAACTCCTAAAATCAACCAGCAAACTTCGAATTTTCTACTTTGGTGAACAAAGCATCAAACAAGCATGAGAACCAATATTAATAGGGATACTCGTAAATGATCTAATAAACGCCGGGCGAGAGAGGCGTTTACTCTTAAACACAACAGCTTTACGTGCTTAAGCACAGTGTTGTAACGAGTTGAGTCATTGACTCGGACTCGAGTCGACTCGAGTTGCTATTTTCAGAGCTTTACGTGCTTAAGCACAGTGTTGTAACGAGTTGAGTAATTGACTCGGACTCGAGTCGACTCGAGTTGCTATTTTCAGCGACTCGACTCGAGTCCAAAACGAAAAACGACTCGACTCGAGTCAACAGCCCCAAATGACTCGACTCGGACGTCAACAGCCCCAGATGACTCGACTCGGACTCGACTTGCTGATTTTGCCGTAAATGACTCGAGTCGACTCAGCTACAACTTGTACAGAATAAATTCATCAAAATTATTGTGATTGTGTTGCTTGGGGAAAACAATGAGCCCTGTGAACAATGAGAACTTCGAAACTTTATCACAAAATATATGGGATTTGCATAGAATACAGTATATTCCTGACGGGCATGCCTATATTACATTTCTGTTTTTAGAAACAACGCTAGCGTCACAGTTTTTAAAATGGAGTCTCGGTATTCATGAAGTGCTATATAATTTCAAATTAACTTACAAAGCATGGTTAATTAAAGTCTATTCTTTATTAATTCTGACTCCAGTTGCAAGTTATGCTAGTTGTATATACGTACACTCGATCAGCAGGCATCATGAGACATCTCATGTGGTTGTACTTAATATTGACTAGAACTGTGATACTAGTACAGCCTATATGGCTAATGGCTGCCCAGATACTGTTATTACATGACTAAAGTGATTAGCTTAAAACGTAGATTTGATTACTAATTTCAAACTGCAAGCTAAGGTAGCGAATCATTACAAAAAGCGTGGGGTGGACCATTCTCGTCCCCAGAGCCATTTTCACTCGGTCACTCGTTGAAAATTAGGCTGTGGGTTAGACGACTAAAGCGAGAGATCTGATTGGCTTCTCAGAGAAATCCTATTTTGCAGAAGTTGAGCAGTTTTAGCTGGGAAAAATTATTCTATCAACATATGTCAACTCAAATACTTCGTTTCTTCGTAATACTTCATGACTTTGAAAATTGTTACGGGTGCTAAAGTGTCCCAATTCAAGACCATGCGCTTTAGAAACTACTGCAAGTTTACTTGCACTTCCGGTTCCGTATGTTCCAGGGCCTAGGGAGGACGCGCGCGGCCGAGAGGCCCTGGGGACAATGATGTGGGTGGACTTGATCAAGTTCCCTGACTCAAGTTAAGTCTAGCTATTGACTCGACTGGACTTAAACCAATGACTCGACTTGACTCGAGTGAAACTGGCTGACTCGACTTGACTCGAGTGAAGCCACCGACTCGACTCGATCAGAAACTGAAATGACTCGACTCGTGACTCGGCCTATGAGTGACTCGACTCGTGACTCGGCCTTTGAGTGACTCGACTCGTGACTCGACCTGTAGGTGACTCGTTACAACACTGCTTAAGCAACGCTTTCATAGGCATGGCACATTGGCAACTTTGATAGTTCGCATGATTGCTACAGCAGTTTCCAAATAGAATGCATGATTAATATTCAAAAACTACAGTAGTTCTGATCCAGTGCTCGCAAAGAACAAGGGGACGTTTATAAGATACGGGCGTTTAATAGACAGGGGCGTTTATCACAAAATGTTGATTTGGCCGAGGAGTCTATTGGATAGTTCATTAGAGAGTGGGCGTTTATTAGAGTGTGTGCGTTTATTACATCATATAGTACGATAACAAGTTTTTTGCTCCCTATGTAAGGATGTGCTGAAAAAATATACTGTATGCAAATTCCGGATAGTAGTCTACGACACAGCTTTCCGGCCAGGAAAAATAGCAACCAGTACAGTAAGTACTTTATATATACCTCAGTTATTGGTTCATTTCGGGAATTCTTTAAAGCTTCAGTTTCGTGTGGTTTTAACTGGAAGCGATCAAGGAATGCATCTGCCACTTTTTGCTTTAATTGTACCTTTTGGCTTAACATAACCAAATATATACAACCTTAAGTCCATGTAATTACACACACGCAATTTCGGACATAGAACCATTTTATGTAGTAAAATGCACAAGCTCAGGGAATAAATGGTGAGCATTGCCCGTATTTCACACCACGTCTTGTAGGGATTTATATCAACATTTTAGTCTACTATCGTTTTTTCAGAAGATTGAGTTTTAGTAAGAGAGCACTCGCCCTCTTCCACCAAACCAATTGAGGATTGAGATTTTATTTTTCTCCCTCCCCCTCTGGACGGCAGAAATTTCCTCCGTGAGGGGAGTGTGGATCTTTCCTGGAACAACCCAATGGCATGTACCAAGGATGTATATAATACAGGGTATTTACATATAATACAGGGTATTTACAGTAGAGTAATACGTGAAAATAATTTTACCCATTGAGCGCCAGAGCTCTTGACAAGTAAAATTATCTGGCATTAGACAGAGTAAAATAATAAAGTAGGGCACATTGGGGCTCAATGCAACTCAATGGGTTAACTAGACGTGTGGGCAGATAGTGTGATTAACCCAACCTCGTACCCAGGCTCTTTCCACTACGGTTGTAATTAACCCACCAAGCGCCAGCGCTCTACCCTTGACGGGAAAAATCGTATGGCATTAGTAAAATAATATAGTATGGCACATTGAGGCGCAAAGCAACTCGGTGGATTAATCATCTTAAAAGTCATATTCTCCACAAATCATTTTAACCAGGGTATTAGCAACAAAAAAATTTATTGCTTCATCTGAAAGAGCATGAAAAAATAAGCCGATTGGCCGTTTAATGCTCTATTCTATCCCATCTAGTTCCGAAGTTATACGCAAAAATGTGCAAAATATAAATTGCTGATTCAGCACAACGTGTGACGTCATTAGTTGGGTAAGTATGTTTAATGAATACTAAACTGAAGCATAGCTCAGTTATTATGGGCCCAAATCAAATGAAATTTTGCATACTGATTGTACATAATGAGACGCATTGAAAAACACTTCTAATTTTGTTGTCAAGGTAACAATGTCGTTCCCAGGCCCCTTGCGCCAATTTTATAAAACAGCTCAATCTCGTTCCCCGAGCCTGCGATCCTCGGGAAGGAACGCGAGGCTCTGGGATAATCCGTTTCAGGGAGGAATCTGATTGGCCGTTGAAATGGAATGCGTAGTTCAATCTTCGCCAGGATTCCTGGCTTCCGGCAATGGATTATCCCAGAGCCTCACGTTCCTTCCCGAGGGTCGCAGGCTCGGGGAATGAGATTCAAAACAGCTTTATTCATGGTACTTATAAGAATAAAATAATATCAGAAGTATGTGTACCATACCTATGCATGCCAAAAGTTTACTTGCATGATAATAATTTGAAAAGGACATACACATAGATAAATGCAACTAGTTATTCAAAATCAGTGTAAGGGGCCTGGGAACGACTGTGTTGCCTTGACAACAAAAGTATTTCCCATGCGTCTCATCATGTACTATCTGTATGCAAAATTTCATTTGATTTGAGCCAATAATAACTGAGCTATGCTTCAGTTTACTATTCAATAAACATACTTACCCAACTAATGACGTCACACGTTGTGCTGAATCAGCAATTTATATTTTGCACACTTTTGCATATAACTTCAGAACCAGATGAGATAGAATAGAGCAGTAAACGGCCAATCGGCTTATTTTTTCACGCTCTTTCAGATAAAGCAATAAAAATTTTTATTGCCAATACCCTTTAAGTCCTGTACACCAGTCTAGCGTCTTTGGAACACTTTCCTCCAAGGATTTTACAAGGTGCCCTAAGATTAGAACGCAATTTTTGCACAAATGATGGACTTACCTTTCTGCCTGAAGTTTGGTTGTTTTGCTTATGAGATCTGATGTTTGCTCGCGGGCCATCTAATAAAGACAAAATGCAAAATATTTGTTTTGTTTTGTGGAAACACTGTGTCCATTTATTTGACAAATCATTAAAAGATCCATAAGCTTGGATAGTAAACAATGCAAATAATATAAATTTCAAAACGAAACAATTCGACTAGTTATTTCGCCACGTAAACATACAAGGAATTTTAAATGTATATGCTTGGCAGTATGACACAAGTTTTGTCCTATGATCATATTAAATAAAACGCAAGCATTAAGTGATTTTACCGGTATTCCGGACAGATTTTTAGGACAAACTTTGTCCTGAGTAGCCCACAAGCTCAAGGGACTGTAACAACACCACCACGAATATTTGCGTACATTTAAGCAAAAACGGCCGGAATAACCTCATCAACAGGATACAGTACCTTTAATCTAGTCGTCATCTCCTCACAGCATTTGCTCATTGACTGGATATCACTATGCACAAGATCGAGTTGCTAAAAAATAACATAATTTTTTTGTTATATTGTGCTAGACGGCTTAATTCTAAAGATCGTACGAGCAGGGCTCGAATTTTATTGCGGCAATCGCCGTAGAGGGAGAACAAAATGCCGTTGATCATTACGGCAACGACGGCAATCTTTTGCCGTATAGTGCAATTTTTATACTATTTACTGTGCATTACTACTTTGATACTTGAATTCAGATGTTAATCATGCGTAAATCACTATTTTAGTCTCAGTTTTCTTCGAAAAAAAACACTAAAGAAATACGTAGACATGTTTCTAGCTTGTCAAAAATCCAAAGTAACAATAAAATTAAAGTTTTATTACAGTAATTTGAAAAATGCCGTGGAAACTGCCAAAATTGCCGTAGACAGCTGTTACGTTCTACGGCAATTTTTAACGCCATTGCCGTCGATTGATTTTAGGGAAATTCGATGCTTGCGTACGAGTACCAGGGACGTCGCGAAGTCATTAGGGAGCTTAAGCATGTAGGACGGCAACACGACGGCGACGGCAACCAATACAATGAGTCAATTAAGATGTAAATATTAAAGTCCCAGGGGAGTTTCAAACGTATACAGTATATAGCCTAGTCGTCGCTCTCTTTACAACGGCAAATCACAGATTTTCACGTCTTTTATACAACGCCTGCATTTCAAGCCGTCACAAGTGCAACTTAAAATTCGGTTCAGTAGAACTCTTCCCAAACATAAAGTCAATCTTTTTAACTTCTTATATTGTATTAAATTCATACGAATTATAATATACAACAAGTTTTCTTTACTATCATTTATTTGAAGGAATTTTTTTTTGGCCGTCGTCGCCGTCCTACATGCTTAAGCTCGCTATTAACATTGGGGGGAGGGGAGATGTGATATTTTGGCCAAGTTTTGGGAACCGTTTTGGCCAACAGGGGGGGGGGGGTGGAAAACATTTCCGGACATTATTTTCTCATTTTCTTTCTGTTTAATGTACAGTTACTCGCCATTATTTGGTTAAATATTCCTTAATTTTTTTCTTAATTTCCGCCAAAGCAATTCTTTTCTAATTTCGTTTAACAATTGACCAAATCTTTTGACCAAATCTTTTCGTTTTTAACCAACTTTTTCAACTTAAAAATTATTGGGTGTCACATCTCCCCGGTAACGACGTCCCTAGAGAGAGAGAAATAACGAGAGCCAGAGGGTTAGATCAAGTCAATTGTGTTTAACAACTTTGGTTAATATTTCTAAACATGTACACATACATTGTGAAAGTACCAATCGGCAAAGGTGCTTGGGTATTGTGTATACTCATGCGCCTTCCCGTTAAAATAAAACATTTTAAAAAGTAATAAAGATCAACACTATCTAACAAATTAGGTGTGAAGTCAATTCTCAATGGCAAGGACAGTCACGAGACAGTGTCCATGTGCACGGCATGTCTATGTCAAAGGATGCATTGAATAAAGTTAGATATCTTTGTTTGAGTAATGGACCATTTGCATTATAGACTAAATTTTGATCTCATCACAGCTTGAAAGAGCATCACAAAATTAGTAATATTCCAAAGTTTCGTTGCGAAATGTTGTAAAATGCGGATAATATAGCCTTGCGAAGTTTGCCGTTTTTCAGTCATTTTGTATTACAAACGGGAAATTGACAGCCCCAAAGGGTATTGCCTATTGGGCTGTCAATTTCCCCCGCGTGATGCAAAATGACTGAAAAACGGCAAACTTCGCAAGGCTATATTATCCGCATTTTACAACATTTCGCAACGACTTCGGAATATTACGGAACTTTCGCAACTTCGGAATATTACTAATTTTGTGATGCTCTTTCAAGCTGTGATGAAATTTTGTCTAGAGTTGTTTAGATCAAAATTTAGTGTATAATGCAAATGGTCCATTGTATAAATGATGAGATGTTGAAAATACTGAGATAAGAAATACTGATAAATGATGAGATGTTGAAAATACTGTAGTTAATAGTGTTCCAGAGTTTGACAATCTGGTTATAAAAGGATGACTGGAAAGTGTTTGTCTTGCAACGTGAAGCTTTCATAACTAGAGGAATCTGGCTGTGTCTGGTGCGGCCATGGCCTATAAATGAAATATATTCATCGACATTCACGTCGACGCACCCATACACCCAAGTCTATGTTGTACAATCTAACGGTGGGGGGTGAATAGGGGTATACAAATCCTCCGATCCGCCCCAATTTGAAGCAAAATCCGCGATCCGACAATGGTCTTGTCTAAATTTGAATCCGCTAAAAGCTATACTATGAAGTCACAATCCAGGATCCGAACTAAATTGTAAGCTAAATCCTCAATCCGAGCCAAAATATTTGATAAATCCGCTGTATTGATAAGATCCGCAAATCCGTGTAAATTATTCGCCAGATCCGAAATCCGAACAATTTTTTCTGTTAAATCTGAAAACCTATTCAACCCCTCCCCCCCCCAATCTAATGTACCGTTCGTTTGTTGAGTTGGTTCATTTTCAAACAGGAAATCAGAGCTTTAGAAAAGCTCTTTTTTCGTACTGCAAGAGCCACAGGATTCGCCATAATGCCACTCAGTCTCAGCCACTGCTACATAAATTAATGTATTCTAAATTTTGGACTGGATGGCTAAGTATTAATCTGTATTTTTTTTTGCCTTGTTTTCCTCAAAGAAATAAATATGGTGCGCTGAACCCATTGCTTGTAGCAAGTTTAGGATTACAGGGCACAAAATAACAGCCGGTCAACAGACATTTCCGGCCAGAATGTGGAGTTGTCCAGTCAAATTCTTGCCTTGCCGGTCATTTTGATCAGTCACTTTCGGTAAAAGAACAAACTAGTCTTTACTTGACTGTATTTTACATCGAACTGCATGTGGTATTGTGCTTAATAAGTTGAAACTTCACTATAACTACAGCTGTTACAAACTTGAATGTATGGGGCCGACACACAATGTCAGTAAGAAAGAAGAATAAGGAAAAAATATGATTTTGATTATGTTTTGTTTGTGCACACAAACCTGTTTGAATTTATTGAATGATTTAATTAAAGAGTGTCACGTAAGTCAGAAACATTCAAAGAACGAGAGCTGAGGACATAATGATTGGAAGCAGCTTCAGTTAATACGTAAGTATAAAGTTCAAAATATATGGAGGGTGATCAATATCAAAAACATCATTCGATGATTCTGTACTCGTTGGATGATTATTCATGTTGTTTAATGATTATGCAAGTTGTTAGATGATTACGTGTTTGCCCATTTCACGTGTTTCGTTCGATGATTCCGTATGCTGTCATTCCGTATGATGATTATTCATGTTGTTTAATGATTATGCAAGTTGTTAGATGATTACGTGTTTGCCCATTTCACGTGTATTTCGTTCGATGATTCCGTATGCTGTCATTCCGTATGACGTTCGATGATTCTGTATGCTGTCATTCCGTATGACGTTCGATGATTCTGTATGCTGTCATTCCGTATGACGTTCGATGATTCTGTATGCTGTCATTCCGTATGACGTTCGATGATTCTGTTATGCTGTCATTCCGTATGACCACAGTATGACGTTCGATGATTCTGCGCCTTCAAGCAAACTAGCCTGCGGATTCTGACCCATTGTCTGTTGCTGCCTTCAAGCAAACTAGCCTGCGGATTCTGAGCCATTGTCTGTTGCTTGTCCAGCGCATTTCTACACTAAAATATTTTAGGGAATGGATGCTGTAGTCCATTACGGAAGAAGAATCCTTATTGAAATAACTTCCCAACTAGAGCAGCACAATATTGGCTCGGACCAAATAGATTACGCGAAATTTCGTTTAGAGTGGTTTACCAGTGTATTACTGCGGTACAACCAAGCAAGAAATGGAAGGATGCTCAGGATCATTCCATCGACAATTATAGAAAATTTATATTTTATGTTTATATATATGGAATAGCCGATATATTGTTTATCTTACCTGAAATTCTCATTTACCCTGTTCTGACTCACTGTACTAAACGATGTTGATGGCATCGAAAATGAACTTTGGCCACTATACAATGACTACAATACAATACAATATGATTTATTAGTTAATCCCCATAAGGGATCATAACTAATTTACAAATAAGTGTAGTAATATGATATTTACATGCAATTATTTAGAACTTATGTTAAAAAGACGGATTGTCTGTAGCTAAACTAGAATTACAGTAACTGTATATTACGAGGACTATTAAAAATTAATTCTGTCTATTGATTAACTCTGTTCGTACGGCCTTCTTAAATCCTCCTAGAGTTGAAATGTTTCGAGTCGAAAGATCAAATGAGTTCCACAGCAGTGCTACATGATTAAAAAAGGATCGCTTAGCTTTAGATGTTCTACATCGTAATATGTTTATGAAGTTGCGAACGGATTACTAGCTTGGAACTAAGATAGGCAGGTGCAAGACCATGAACTATTTTATACATCATAATAGCATTACGGTACAATAGAGAGTCGTTAACTGACAACCATCCCAGCTTATCTAAAGCCGGGGTCATATGATCATACTTTCTAGTTCCGTTACGATTCGTGTTGCAAAGTTCTGTACTCGTTGTAGTTTCTTAATGTTCTTTTGGGTGGTGCCAAACCAAACCGTGGAGCAATAGTAAAGTTTGCTAAATACTAGGCAGTTTATCATGATCAACAAGGCATCCTTGTTGAACAAGTGTCGAACTCTGTTGATTTGACACAGACTTGATGTTAGGGTCGACGTCAATGAATTGATATGATCGTCAAATGTCAGAGTGGCATCGAAAGTGAGACCAAGGTCTTTACAAACTGTGACAGGTGTTAATATTTTTCCTAGAAAAGGAATTGATAAGTTTAGCAGGTTCTTTATCGATTTCTCCATTCCAAATATCATAGACAGGTGTTAATATTTTTCCTAGAAAAGGAATTGATAAGTTTGGCAGGTTCTTTATCGATTTCTCCATTCTTCACTCTGTCTTCAAGGGATTTATTAGAAGCTTATTAGAACAGCACCATTCTGCTATACTTCTGAGATCTTGGGAAAGGCTTAACAGGCCAAGGTCGGCTTCTGATAAGGAAAATGATATAAACGTTTTTGTGTCGTCAACATATGATTCTACGTCACAGTTCGAAACAACTTTGGATAAATCGTTCATGTATATTGTAAACAGCAGTGGACCCAAGATGGAGCCTTGTGGGACTCCATGTTTCACCAGTAAAGGAGTTGATGTAGATTGACCAATGCGTGTGACTTGGTATCTATCGGATAGATAACTCTGAAACCAATCAACGCTAGAGGAAGAAGCGCCTACATTTTGGAGCTTTTGGAGTAGTCTTTCATGGCAAATGCTATCAAAGGCTTTACTCAGGTCTATTAAAACCATTGCTGTAATCTTTTTTTCATCCATTGCTCTAAAAATGTGGTCAATGATAAGTAGGCTAATGGTTTCAGTGGAGTGTAGCTTTCTATTTCCACTTTGATGGTTAGTTAATCTCTGCTTTTCAACTAAGTGTTTTGTAAACTGGTTGATGAGGTACTACACTCGGTGCTAGTACAGGTCGAGGTACAGGTAGTTGTGCTTTTTGACTTTCAGTTTGAGGACTCAATTCTGCACTTGATTGTGTGGACGAGTTTAAATCTTGAAGTTGATTTAACATATTTCTTAATATTGATGTTGCTGTGCTTATGAAATCTTTACCACAAGGTGACTGTTCATGTAAATCCATGTCAAAAAATGCACCGTAAAAACGAAATGACAACCAAACAATTATAAAAACAACACAAGCACAGAAGAACACGAGGGCGCTAGATGCGCTAGACAAAGCAACAGACAAGGATATAGATTCATGTCTCGCTAATAGGGTTAGCGGTTAGGGTTAGGGTGGGGATTAGGGTTAGCATTATAAATAGCGAAACATGAATCTATAACTTTGTGGCTCAGAATCCGCAGGCTAGTTTGCTTGAAGGCGCAGAATCATCGAACGTCATACGGAATGACAGCATACAAAATCATCGAACGTCATACGGAATGACAGCAACTGAAGGCGCAGAATCATCGAACGTCATATGGAATGACAGCATACAAAATCATCGAACGTCATATGAAATGACAGCAAACAGAATCATCGAACGTCATACGGAATGACAGCATACAGAATCATTGAACGTCATACGGAACGACAGCATACAGAATCATCGAACGTCATACAGAATGACAGTATACGGAATCATCGAACATCATACGGAATGACAGCATACGGAATCATCGAACGAAACACGTGAAATGAGATCGGAAACACGTGAAATGGGCAAACATGTAATCATCTAACAACTTGCATAATCATTAAACAACATGAATAATCATCCAACGAAGTACAGAATCATCGAATGATGTTTTTGATAATTTGATCACCCTTCATAAAAATAGTGGCCTTTTGCATTGACATGATTGCCAGGCGTTCGATTAACCTAGCACCACTGCTTAGAAATGATCATCAAGTTGTTCCAGTTAAGTTAAAGTGATGCCGGTTTCGCGCACTTCTTCTATCATAAATTGCGACGACTAACATAAGCGCAATGCAAGCTATTTTATGTGAAGGAGTTTTTCATTACTGATTTTTGTAATGGCTTTATAAGGCTTTTTGCAATGCTGTTGGAAAAATAGTCACATTTTTAAGGAACATATATCTCCCTAGGCTTTGCTTCAAATTAAGCTGAATAATTTGACCAGTTAGAAATTTGATATGTCCGAGCTAAAATTAATTTGGCCGGTCACCTTGACCGGGGACCTTCCAGCCGTTATTTTGTGCCCTGGATTACGACGGGTTTGGTCGAGAAGGCTAGGTTCGGCGCGCCATAGTGAATCACCCCTAGCCTGTGTGTCAGGCTCTATGCTTGAAATAGAGCCTGTTACTGAAGTCGATGAAAAGTGGCCAGTCATTTGGATGCTCGAAAATAACAACCAATCAAAATGGCGATTGTCAATTAGATTATCAAAGCTAATTTAAAATATGACAATAACAGCCAATTTTTCCACCAATATCTCGAAAATAAATATTCCAATTTTCATTAAACGGCCAGGAATTACATACTAAATCATAATAACGGTTATTGACCGTGTTTATAGACAGCAAAGGCAGTCATTAATGCGGCCAAAAGTACAATTACCAGTACGGAATATCATATTATGCAAACAACAACTTGATATTACCTTATAAGGCAAGGCTATTTATTTCTGACCAATGGGAATTTTTGCATACGATTTCTCTATTTCAAGCATAGAGCCTGACATGCAGGCTACAAAGCCCCCTGTTTGGCGAGACTTTTTTTATTTATTGGTTTACAGATTTTACTTGAAAAAAAAACAGGTCGGAAAAAAATTTAAAAAAACATTGTTTTTCAAGATTGTCACAATGATAACATGAGCCAGTAGTACTTAGTGTCAAAGTTTACTTGGCGTATACTTCATTTCATGTCAGAACTCCAAATTAACTAAAATTAACCCAGTGTGGAAAGTTTGTATCGCGCGGCGGATATCTCCAGCGCGCAATTTTGATGCTTTCTATATATTTACTATTAAATTTTCGAAACCTCCGGCGCGCAATTTCCAAACTTTCCAATCTGGAAATTAACTAAAATCGTAAAATTGTTGACATCCAAATTTTTTTTTATTTTCCACTTTCTGAATAGTTACGGTGGCAATGAATAAAAAAAGTCTCGCCTGTGGTTGATTTCAAGTTTTCAACTTCATTGTATACGTGCCTCTTTCACATCTCTAAACGCACTTTCAAATTGTTCATTCACATAAAGACTTCTTTTCTCTATGTCGCCACGAAGATTACGACGCTCTCTCAAATTATTTTCAGTAAAGAAAGTCGATAGGGCCTTCAATGCATCAACAAGATCCTGAAATAGAGATTTATAGATCATGATGTATCATCATAGACCATCATACACAGGATGACATATCGTATAAAATAAACACAATGTAACATTAAACCTTTCCCAAATATTTCTTGATTGCTATATAGGGCTTACTTTATCATTATCAAGTCGCATTTCTAGAATTTTGTTCAGTTTTCTTGACAAAGGATTGCTCTGTTGAATTGAAATTTCGTCCGCCATTTTGATGCAGGAAAAACATCGCTGGCTCGTGTGTTTAGTGTTTACAAATCTGAAGATGCCACGTGTCACCTTTTACATTTTTGAACCATTTTAAACCAATCACAGATACGTTTAAATAATAACCAATCAGATGCTGGCAGTGGAAGTCAAATCTCGCATCCAGATAAACAATGACCAATCGATGCGATGGCTCTGGGTTTTGATTCCCCATCTTGCAAATAGCAGTATTAGGGAGTGGTCATTATTTATGGGGAGGGGGGTTGGGGAATGGGAGGGGGAGGGGAAACTAAGTTTTACCCTTATAAGTAGGAGGGGTCAAAAAAGTTTTAACACAGAGAAAGGGGGGTCATAAAAGTTTTTGAACTTAAATACCATGTCTAGAGTTCTGATTTCTATAATCACAAATAGCAAAAAAGAAGACTCTGAAAATGCTGTTTCCAACGATCTAGAGACTCAAAATTTTCAAAATTTCCCTGCTCGATCGGCGCCAACCAATGGCCAACCATGGTAGCGCCTCGCGATCGTGGGAGTCGGGCCCACTAAGCTTAACAAACTTTCTACCCCCTGAGTGACTCAGTTGTGGTATTTACATAAACATACCATGCAAGTACACTTAACTGATCAGATTCGGTCTATCAACGCACAATGTAACGCTGTATATCCAAAAATCTGTTTCAGAAAATGCTCACATTTCAGTTCTAGGGGTGAAAAAATACAAAAAAATTTTATGAGGGGGGAGGCACAAAAAGTTTGCCTTCAGTCTGGAGGGGGGGGGTCAAAAAAGTTTTCAATCCTTATTTTCGCCATTTCCCAACCCCCCTCCCCATAAATAATGACCACTCCCTTAATAAATGCTGAATAATGTAGAAAATATCATTTGGCAGGTAAAATGCCTTGGGTACGAGGTTGCAAAATATAGCTGTGAGTGATTAACACTCACCTGCAGTATTTCTTTCAGGACTGATGCTGACAACTTTCGCAATAGGAACGGATGCAGGTGTGATCACGAGCGACGTTTCTAATCTATTCAAAATCATCTGTTGTGGTGCTTCTCATTTTACTTCTGCACACTGAACCACATTCGCTTTTAAAACGTGTTGATGATTATGAAAAACTGGCTGAAGAAAGTGCTCAACAACAACGACGACGACGACGACGACAACGACAATAACAACAACGACAAAAATGAGAAAACCTACGTACAACAACACGCACCTGGTAATACCTACTAGGTAATACCATGGATATTATTATGAGACCATGGATATTATTATGAGCAAATGTTTCATATATTGCCTCCGAGAACATTTTCAACTTAATTCGGATATCAGAATTTCTCTGCTCCTGGTTGTTTATAACTATGTGTGTGTGGTGATATAAACTTCTAAAAGACGAAAGTGTACACTCAGTAAGCTACTCCATATATTCAAGGGCGCTGGAAGAAACGTGAAGCGACAGAGACAGCCATTTACTACTTCAGTCTGAGCCCTAATTCAGTTTGTGGCCACCAATGTTCGTTAAAATGTTGCGGTATGGATATTCGATTACCGTTGTAGCCAATATAGTTGGAGAAATTTTGGCATTGATTGGAACAATTTTATTCGTTGCATGACGGTAAAGCCCTGAAGGCATGAGGCACGTACTAAAACCCGGAACAAAACCGGGTTAGGTTAAAATGCGGAAGCGGATCGGAACGGATGGGGTTAAAATGCGGAACGGAACGGATATGGGATTAAAATGCGGAACGGAACGGATATGGGGTTAAAATGCGGAACGGAACGGATATGGGGTTAAAATGCCGAACGGAACGGATATGGGGTTAAAATGCCGAACGGAACGGATATGGGGTTAAAATGCGGAACGGATATGGGGTTAAAATGCGGAACGGAACGAATATGGGGTTAAAACGCGGAACGGAACGGATATGGGATTAAAATGCGGAACGGAACGGCTATGGGGTTAAAATGCGGAACGGAACGGATATGGGGTTAAAATGCGGAACGGATATGGGGTTAAAATGCGGAACGGAACGGATATGGGGTTGAAACGCGGAACGGAACGGATATGGGATTAAAATGCGGAACGGAACGGATATGGGGTTAAAACGCTGAACGGAACGGATATGGGATTAAAATGCGGATCGGAACGGATATGGGATTAAAATGCGGAACGGAACGGATATGGGGTTAAAATGCGGAACGGAACGGATATGGGGTTTAAACGCGGAACGGAACGGATATGGGGTTAAAACGTAACCTGAAGTTCAGGCCTTAATTTTAAATAGGGTCTGACACAAAACCTGTCTAAACTGTAGGATTCCCGTCCATCTGGTGGACGGGAAATCTGATTGGTTGATCAGCATCATGAAAGATTTTGATTGGTTGCAAGTTCATATTAACAGCTCGGTCAAGGCGACAATTAAGCCGGTTACAGACCAACCTCGTTCCCAGGTTCTCACCTCCGCTTGGGGGGCGTGGCGGAGGTGAGACCCTGTGAAACAGGTTGGTTACAGACGAGCAAGTTTTCTATGACAAGTTTTTATGTGACAAGTTTTATTTGCCAAGTGCACTTGTGTATATGCAGGGCGTGGCGGAGGTGAGACCCTGTGAAACAGGTTGGTTACAGACGAGCTGGTTACAGACGGCGAGCAAGTTTTCTATGACAAGTTTTTATGTGACAAGTTTTATTTCAAGTTTTCATATGACAAGTTTTATTTACTGGTGTGAATGTGTCAGAGAAATTTTTCAAGTTTTCATATGACAAGTTTTATTTACTGGTGTGAATCTGTTGTCATGGCAGCGATAAACACCTTTTTTGTCATGGCAGCGATAAACACCTTTTTTTGACACGTTCACACCAGTAAATAAAACTTGTCATGTGAAAACTTGTCATAGAGAAACGTGTTGCATATACACACGTGCACTTGGCAAATAAAACTTGTCACATAAAAATTGTCATAGAAAACTTGCTCGTCTGTAACCGGCTTAATTGTCGCCTTGACCGAGCTATTTTTAAAACCATTGTTTATATGAACTTGCAACCAATCAAAAATTTTCATGATGCTGATCATTGATCAACCATTCAGATTTCCCGTCCACCAGATGGACGGGAATCCCACAGTTTAGACAGGTTTTGTGTCAGACCCTATTTAAAATTAGGGCCTGAACTTCAGGTTACGTTTTAACCCCATATCCGTTCCATTCCATGGACGGGAATCCCACAGTTTAGACAGGTTTTGTGTCAGACCCTATTTAAAATTAGGGCCTGAACTTCAGGTTGTCGTTTTAACCCCATATCCGTTCCATTCCGCGTTTTAACCCCATATCCGTTCCGTGCCGCGTTTTACCCCCATATCTGCCGCGTTTTACCCCCATATCCGTTCCGCATCCGCATTTTAATCCGCATTTTAACCTAACCCGAACGAAACCACCGGAACCACCGGAACGACCGGAACAAGAATCGGAAATGACCGGAACCACCGAAACCAAAATCGAACACGATCGGAACAAAGTAGTAGACTGACACGACCGGAACGACCGTGTTCGATTTTGGTTTCGGTGGTTCCGATCTTTTCCGATTCTTGTTCCGGTCGTTCCGGTGGTTTCGTTCCGGTTGTTCCGGTGGTTTCGTTGCGGTTGTTTCGGGTTTTAGTACATGCCAAGGCATGACGGTAAATTTTAAACAACATGACAGCTTGTCAATTATGTAGGAAGGCTTTCTTTTTGACGTTTTTAGTGTGAAGTTTCTTCGAAACTTCACAGTATTGTGATGACTGGGGGGAAATTCAAACGAAACAGTCAGTCATTCAGTCAGTCATTCATTCATTCAGTCAGTCATACAGTAAACTTTCCGGGGGGTGTATACGGTATATGTTCGTAGTGATTTATCGTACTTAGTCTGTGCTTTGAAGGTTATTTAGGCAATTTCAGTTGTCTTATTTAAATATTCTTTAGGCCTTTTGCCAAGTTTTGCCAAGTTTACATAAAATTCGAGGAATTGTTGTCGTTATTGTAAATTTTATAACATGCGCTTCTCATGTTGTGTAAAGGATTTTCCCCCCGGAACACCCGATTTTTTCTTTAGCAGCGCAAATGCGCATGCGCTATCTAGCCGTAGATCACGATGGCGTGACGATGCTAGGAAGGAGCGAGACAGTGTTATTTTGAAATGTATAAACATTTCAGACGTGAATATTGAGTAAATCTTCGAGAATCTACGCAATATATAAATTGATGTTATGCATTCAATTAAGTGCCGATATTATTTAGACGGTATATTCATTTTACAGAGCTAGCAAGGAGCTAGGACATTGCTTTTTTCAAGTGTATATATTAAACATTTCAGACGTAAATATTGAGTCGAAAATCTTTGAGATTCTAGGCATCCGATTGAGTGCCGATATTATTTTCACGGTATACCCATTATACAGAGGTAGGAAAGAGCGAGAGAGTGTTGTTTTCAAATATATAAACATTTCAGACATGAATATTGAGAAAATCTTTCACATTCTACGCAATATATAAATTGATGACGTTATGCATTACCGGCGCCCAATTAAGTGCCAGAAGATATATTGTTTAGGCCGTGTATTTATTATACATTGGCCACATTGACTGTATAAGGTGCTACCGCCACAGAATAGATGGCTACACTCAGTACAAAGGGCGAATTTTGCATCAGACAAAGCGTAAACAACTATTAAACAGAAGCGGGTGTTTGTATGGCGTTTACGAAGATAATAACTTGTGAGTTGTGATCGAGACTAAAAGAAATCAGTTGAGTCTGCAGAGCTCTTTATTTAAACAAGAAAGACGAGGATCGAGTTATAGCCAACGTGTTATCGCCAATCGCTTGGCTTGCCAACAAGCTTTATGCAATAGAAGAAAAAAGCAAGGAGGTAGCCAACGTGTACCGTCAAGGACTTACTTAAAATTGTTTACTGTCTAGACAACGTCAACAGTGCAAACTCGTGTTCAGTGCAACGATAACTCTACCAGATCTTACGAGAATCAATCTGTACTCAGAGCCGTATCAAAGCTTGTTAAAACTGTTATAAACACTGCTATAACTGTGAAACTATTGAAATCTAAAGTGACATTATTGAATACATGCGAAAAGCTGAAAATGACTCATGAAACGCAATGTGACATTGCCATTGGGAATATAAAGTCAAAGGTCAATCAGACTTGTTATTGTGAAACATGTCGCAATTAGGTTAAAATGCGGAAGCGGATGGAGCGGATCCACGGAACGGATATGGGGATAAACTATAGAACGGATGGGGATAAAATGCGTTCTTTTAATGATACAACGTCGTATTGCTTATTATTCATAGCATATCTTACACAGCTATATTTGGGTGATGGGAATAATCATATTAAATAAGTTCAGGGTATCAGTAGCCTCGTTAGGATGCTTTTAGCGACAGCTACAAATGCAAATGAAGTTTTAGAATATGCAAAATTTGGGTTTTGGTGAAACAATTTAAATTTCAAGTTGTCTCGTGTAGCATCACAGTAAATAAATAAATTGTATCAGTTCCACGAGGCACGTTTCTGATCTGTTACGCTTGTTTTAAACGTGGCGCTACTCATGTGCCAAACGCATTATAAAATAGATAATGAGATGAAATGCCTTTGGTAACTGTTTATTTCGTAGTGTGAGCCATCAGCTTTTCCAGGTTGTCGGCGACCCTATATAGTTCTTGCAGTGTCTTTTTAAATTTGAAACTTCACACTATCCTTGGATCCCTAGTTTTTCATTGGAAACCTTGGTAACCTTTCTGAGCGGAGTTTCAGATTCAAATTTGAACTAAATTGCTTGAAAACAGTTCTTAAGTGTAGTTCTTGTAAAGAGGCAACTTTCTCCCCCCGTGCTGCCCCGTACTGTTTGGACAACGGGGGCAGCTGCCGCCGTGGCTGCCGGGCGCCCCTGACTCAATTTACGGTTTGGACAACTCCGGATTTTCCAACATTAATGGAATGAAACGGAACACGTTCACATTACGATATGGCGGATTAACATTTCTATAGCGAAAATTTACATTTGCCGATATGATCAAATGCACTTTACATCAAGTATGAGTGTATGACGCTTACCTAATTATAATACATACTTAGCCTAGACAATATTTATCTTTACAACTACAGTTGTGATATTACTTCCTTAACTGTGTTTACCCTAACCCACCCTGTCAACTTTTCCGTGGGAGGAAACCGGAGCACCCGGAGAAAACCCACGACTTTCGGCAGAGCGTTGACTGACTCTTTTCACATGAGACCGTAGCCAGAATCGAACCCTATTTAATTGAATCGAACCCCACGAACTCAGAACTGAAAGGCGCTTGCTCGGACAACTGCGCCACATTACTGTTTAGAGCAGTTCTCATTACGTAGACTTGCTCAAGTCTGCCTTTCAAAAGGGTTTTTACTTTCTATTTAGTATCAGGCGCGCGAAAATGTAGGCAGGAAAAATGATGTATTTTCACTCATCCTTTATAAATCCTTTTAATACTGAAATCACATTGAGAAGCAGATTTGGAACAAGTTCCCAACGTTCGTGTACAGGCAGCCAGAACAGAACATGGGAAGTGACGTCTGATATAGATGGCATCTCAGCTGTTTCCATCACATTTTCCACCGTGTATGCCGTGTTATCAATGCATACCGTTGCAGACCGGCTGCACTGAATTTATAAGACATTTAATGCTGGATGCGATATTGGTGCTAATCGCAATATACACATGTATGTATCATTTTATACAATTTGCTGTATTAGACGGTCGTAATATTAGCAAATAGACACTGAATAAAACAAAATAGGCAAAGCTACATTTGATATTTATACTATGAATATCAACGTAATGATCTATTCCTAATTTAAATATTAGCTACTAGTGTAGAACGAAGCGTATTGCTTTGCCAGTATAGTTATGTCTCTAACAATGCAAATGTTTTTAAGTGTAGTTTTCATACGTTGCCTTTGCATAAACAACATTTCCTCTCATGGACCTTGGTGTTTGAACGCTATTTAATATCTTTAAACGCCTTTTCTCTTCCTCTCGAATCACGGATTTAAAATATACCTCCCGTTTTCTGACATCACAGCTTAATCCTTGGACAAAATCTTGATATGTGTTCCTTCCAATTTGGGATGATTTGGGAACTAGAATGGGAAAGGCATCTGCAGCTGTCTGACACACGGTATAATGTTCTGAAGAAACTCTCCTCTCACTGTGGACATTATTAAGACCATTGTTCTTCTTGATATCTGTTTTCATATGTACTTTGTTATTGTTGAGCTTTTCAGGTTGTTGGTTATATTTGCTCACAGATTGTCTCAGGACCATCGTGGCATTGTTGAATGGTGTTTGACGTAGAAAACATTTCATGCCCATGTCAAGATGGTCAGAAAGAGCTTGATTTCTGCGTGTGGGTAGTCCCATGGCTGCTTTTGACTTGGGATGAAATGCCATCATGGATACATATTATAATGAAGAAGTCATGAGTGAATTATCATTGATCCGATATATGAGTTACAACTTACATTTTGCAATGTACTGCATGTATGTGTGTGGACAGAATTTATTAGGTAACCTTGACAACAGGCCATGCATGGTTACCCGCACATGAAATCTATCAGTTGTTCCATAATATAGAATAGAGTGTTTACTTAATTTGAAATAATTATTATGGGATAATGTTTTGGTATTATCTCACATTAAATTGTGGACATTCATTATACTCAACCATACTATATCAAACCAAGTATTGAAGTACATTAGTATGTGTCCCAATGACATGAATACTGACATGCATGCAGGTTACCATACTAGAAACATGATTACCTGCTTATTAAACAAAGTATTTACACTATAATTCCACAGAAATTTTCCTGTTCTCCTGCGTCATTTGTCCACATTTGAATAAAATTAGACAATACCTGAGCTGTTTCTACTTTACTTAGTTTGGTAGTTTTTGCTTAATATTGGGTCATTCCAGAAAACATCCATACCACCCCCATGGAGGAAATTTGAAGTTAACCCCCCTACCCCCTTCGGATGTCCTAATACATTTACTATTATCACAAACAATTTTTTCTCCCCTCCCTCTTCTGACGGCAGAAATGTCCTCCGTGGGGGGAGTGTGGATCTTTTATGGGATGACCCATTTCCAATTAATGGCAAACCCTCAAAATTATGTTTATTTTGTGCAAGGTTCCCAAATCAGTTAAATGCCGAATGTTACAATTACTATATAGATCTTGTTTCCTTAATTAATACATAGAGCTAAACTGAGCTAAACTGAACCGTACTCAACTGAGCTAAACAGCGCAGTAAAAAGTAATAACTGATATTTTTCACAATTTCACATTAACCCTTCACAATTTAAAAAACTCTCAAAACGGAGTTAAAGATTATTACTTTTAGTCCTCAAGTCAGAAAACTAAGGTTCAAGTATATTCTTCAGTAACATGAGCACAAAAACCGCATCTTAAGATTTTACACTGAGATAAGTATAAGCGATAAAAGAATATATAGATATAAAATATCATACATTTGTATAAGACTAAGACTATAGAAACAATCAGTAATGCATTAACTGATATATATCTCTACTGAATGTCAAAAACTCCAAGTGCGGATCCTCGCACAACTAGGGGGTCCGGGGTTATGATCCCCCTGGGAAAATTTTGAATTTCAAACCATTCCTGCATTCTGAGCGTCGGTCAACAAACCGGTATTTCAGACAAAAAGCCGGAAAGAAAAACACAATGGGGAGCGCTTATTAAAGTCACGATAAATTATACAACATCTTATAATCACATTTTATAATCCAAAAAGGGCACTTTCTTTCGATCCGTAAGCCCAGATCTTCATCAGTGCTAATAATATGAAGCACATATTATTAGCACTGATGAAGATCCGGGCTTACGGATCGAAAGCTTTGCAGTAATAAATTTACGTGGTGTTTCCACAAACAAAAACAATTATATTTTATCGCCATGCAAACATTCAAAGAACTTATAAGGGCACTTTCGTTTGAAAAAAGGGCACATCTTTCTGTTTTCAAAAATGTTGGAGGCGGGGGCACCTGCCCCAGTGCCCCACTCCATTTCCGCGGCCTGCCATCAAGTATAATTCTAACAATGTTTTTAACCTATTGAGTTGAATTGCACCCCAATCTCCAAACGATTTTACTCGTCAAGGAGAGGTGCTGACGTTTAATGCATGGGTTAGTCAGGCTTGCAGTGCGCCCCAATGCGCCCTACTTTGTTACTCTGTCTAACGCCAAACGATTTTACTCGTCAATTATAGTTGCATGATTGCTACAAAGTTATCGGCACATTAAAGTTGTCACATTGAAGTCGCGAACTTGAGAACTTGTGTACTCTTCGTAATCCTTGGAAATATATTGCATTATAACACTGCTACTCAGTGGCAACCATTACTGCCGCAGGTCAGACTGCAAAATATTGCAGTAAAACGTCTCAGCGCGTTGCGAACAAATAGTGCGAGCACAATCTGATATCGGCTAGTTGAAGCAAAATCCATAAAAAAATCAATCAACACAGCACAGCGTGGCTCATATGAAATTCAGCATTACACATATAACAAGAAATTACAAATGAAATCAATTTTTGAGTTGCATGGTTAGTGATATTTTCGTTTCAGTCGTTATTCGGTTATTTTTAATATACCAGTGCCGGCCAATTTTTCCTGAACATTTAATTGCTCAGGCGCCATTCAGTTTGTGGTATAATGTGATTTTACTGATTTATACACAAATAACGGCTAAATAGCATGACGTAAATCCTACAGAGGAAACAGCTGGATGTCCTAGCAGCGATGAAAGAAAAAACATTAATATCGTAACAAATTACTTGCCTCTTGGTTATTGTGGTCGACATACTAATATTTCCATAAATCATAATAGGTAAAGTTAATTGACCACAACAAAACAAGTATTCGATTTCTTTTCCTTACCGAATCATGCTTCACTGGCTTGGCAGACGACATAGGGCAGCGCCGCAGCGTGCAGGCCCCCGTCTTTTCAGATGTTCAACAGTTCACTCGCCATGAATTATTAGTGGCGAAAATGAAGTGTAAATTAGTAAAAGCGCAAAATATGCAACGTGTACACACGTAAAAATCTCACAACTTGTTGACGGATCGAACAAGCTTGTAGCAAGCTTGTTGACAAGTTGTTGGAACAGAATTGGCATTGCTACAAGTCTGCTACAGCCAGGTTTGTTACAACTTGTGCTTTTTTACGTGTGTAGACCAATTAAAGCTATCAAATGGATTGAATAATAATAGCAAGGTTTATTTAGATTAGACTTCCACCATCACTACCGCCACTTTTTACTGACCTGGTTATTTATCCACCTAGGATAGTAATATGGGTAATAGGGTTATTTCTAGGTTAACTAGGAAAATTTGAATCTTAGTGTTTTCAAAGTGTAGCCTTTTACTTTGCTCGGCGAGCAGGTTAACTCCGGTACTAGACTTGCTCCAAGTCTCTCTTTCATTGTCATATAGTATCGATCCACTATAGTGTACATTACATGACGTAGGACGGAGGGGCGGAGCGAGAAAGAGAGACTTGTCAACTTCGGAAAATCTCGGTTCAAAACTGAACCGAAAATGCAAGTTTAATTGTTTTCTGTCAGTGTTTATATGTGTTGATCTAGCACAGTGTAAATAACATGAGTTCCATTATAGTAAATAATACAGAAAGAAATTGAAAGAAAACAATTAAAGCGAGTCTTGCATTTTCGGTTCAGTTTTGAACCGAAATTTTCCGAAATTGACAAATCTCTCTTTAATTCTCGCTCCGCCTCTCCGTGCTACGTCATGTAATGTACACTATAGTGGATCGATATGACAATGAAAGAGAAACTTGGAGCAAGTCTACTCCGGTACAGGCGTCAGCATGTGCAATCTACGCATGCTCAATTAATCAATTAAGCTACAATCTTTGACAATATACATTGGACAATCTCGTTTTTACTAGCTGCATTCAGGTGTATTATATCATTTCTTCAAACAGTACACTTTATTCCTCCCTCCCCCACCCGTTTCAATGTTGACGTCTCGCAGCCAGACATCAGATTTTTGTGGGCGCAACATTGAACTGGGGGAACAGGGGGCGCTACGCCTTTCAAATTGTGTGAAATTACAGCATATGTCCTATAATTTTCGCCAAAGATCGTGGGTTGACCTTTTGTGGCCGCAATTTCCGATCGTGGATTGACAATGATTCCTATAAATATCTATCTCCAAGGAGACTGGCGCGAGATGTTGGACGACACGTTTGAGACTTTGAACGCTATACTACGTGCTTTTAGTTCTGGAAATTAGAAAACTACAATTCAACAACTTAACAACTTAGTCTCAGAAAGGTTCTACGAATTTTCTCACATAACTACAATGATGACTGATCATGAAATTCAATGAAACTCGTTTCGAGTGCTTGAAAGTTTGGTAGCGTACTAAAATAAGACCAAGCCCCAATATAAAACTGTTACACAACATAACTTTTGACGGAATTATAGATGTCAAGGAGAACAGTGTATAGGTTAAACAGGAAATTTCAACTAGAATGTTTTTAGAGTGTAGAATTCATAGCCATGCATATTTTTTTGTCTGTCATATTTCCAGTAAGGAAAATTCTAATTCCAAAATCCACTTTTTGATCTACTCTATCCAAGATCTTAAACTACAAATTTTAATCTAATGTCTAGACTATCACTGTATCAGTGAGAAGTTTAATTCAAGGAGCGCGCTGTACTCATGATATATAAAACATGCAACGATTAATTAATAAAACCTGAATAGTTAAAGATTATAATATAAAAAAGAATGCAGACAGTTATAATATCATAGCACAAAAAAATCCTAATTTGGACTGTCTTCTTTTAGAACGACTCGTTGTCAACTATATAATGCATATAAAATTAACCATGTAAAGTGATAATCCAATTTATTCCAAGAATCTTCTCGAAATTAAAGATGCTATCAAGATGAATGCAAGGTGTTTAATATGGCTGGAGCCGCAAGATTTGATACTAAATAGTTTCTCTTATAATCATAGACTGACACATGCACGTGGACTCTTCTTATTATACTATGCCGGTATGGCCCATTCTAGGTTCTTGGTATAGCTGCCCATTATCGTCTTGTACTTGAAATGGAACTGTAAATGTAATAAAAAGTCACTTATAGGTGAAAGCTTCGGATTGATAGGGATATAATTTCCTGAAAAATACAAGGAGAACTTCGATGTTTCGAGCGAACGCCCTCCGTTGACTTTTTATTACTTCAAAGAAGAAAATGCATGCATGTTTCATTTAGTTTGTCAACATTTCACATCTGTCTTTTGACGGAGTCTGACCGATGAACCTTCAGGCATGCAACAGCAGACGAATACAGCCATATAATACTCATATACTCAATAATTCCATGCTTCTGACACGAATATTATTTGAAAACCTAGTCAATGAATTTATGACTATAATATGACTATGTCTATTACATGCCTATGGTCCCATAGCTGGCGTATATACTATTTATAAAAAAACTGATATCATTTGATGCAAGTCGATCACTATCGAGTAAGTAGGCCTACTATAATGAACAAATCATGCAAGCTATCCAATTTCAGCCGAATTAGTATACTTTTTGTGGCTGAGATATAACATGCAGGAATTAAGAAAGATAGAGGAATATATATTATGACATGGATAACGATTAAAAGTGGTCATGTATGAAAAGTGAACTTTTATCAAAAACTGCATATGTCAATTGTTGTATCGTAAATATAGACAATTCCAATCTTACAGCTGGGACAGTTAGGTAAGGGCCAGGGAAATTATTCAAGACAAAATGTAATACAATCAGTTTAAAGTTAATGAAACAAACTAATGAAGCATAGGTCTCAGCTGTAAGTATAAAGTTAACGAAACAGTCTCGGTAGCGAAAATAATTTCAAATCACATTAACAGATCCAAATAGTAAACTATGCTGTATTATACACTATAAACGAATCATGCTTTAATATTCTGTTCATAATTTCATAAACACTGAAATTCAAGCTAGTACAATCTCCAACATATTTATTATTTAGCTGTACTTAGACAATTTCCGCGCTAAACGTGTATATTAAGAACACATGCATGCATCATTAATATTAAGCAAATTGTAATAATAAGCAAATTGTCATTAAATAATTATTATACGTACAGGAATGGCTGCAGGCCGCCACACGGTCCCACTACTTTTTCATGTACAAAGAAACGGAAACCATTTTATTTGAAAATTTGTCCTAGAAAATTTTGTAACGACTTTATAACATGTGTTTAACACAGGGAAAATGTGTCCTTGGTAGTAACATCGGCGATAAAATTCTGATATTTAATGTCACAATAATTGTTCTATTCAGTATAATGTCTAATGATTCATTTCAGATATGTTTTCCAACTTACAAACACAATTACTACCGGCAATAATCTTTTTGAATTTAAAAACATGTTTGTCCTGCCAATTCGAGGCACTTCGTGTACTGATAATATATACACTAGTATTCTTTTAGCATGAAAGGAATAAATATTTAAAAGAATGTGGTTTTTGAGGCAGGTGAAATCTCATGCAGTATGAAACCACAAGTTGATTAAATTAATTACTTATTTTGTTTCTCTCAAAGGACAACATGTATTTCTGTCAATATAAATTTCTCAGCATTGTTGTTGTTATAGACCGAAAAACTATATGTGTAGATAGTAAATAGATCTTTTTTGCATTAAATAGAACAAGCAAGACCAAAAAAATTTTTTGTACTTTACACCCCATGAATTTTTATTTATATGACAAAACTACCTAATTATTTATGCATTGATTATAAATCAGTTCAATTTCCAGTGCGAATTAACTTTATCGTGTAGGATAAAGTTCATATCTAACCTAACAAGGCAATTTTAAATTATATTAAGTGAAGTGCTTTGATTCTGTAGAACGTTTGAAACGGTTGGATAGTTTTTCAAACAGTGAAGCCAATAAGTGATGTTAGGGAATGGAGATCAACCATGTTTTAAACATGTATAGGTGTTTTTCCAAAACTGTTTTTCAATATTTTGTTATTTTTGTTGGTGTGCCATTTGCTCAATACTTATATAGGGCTTTAAAAGCCAGAGGTCTCGACACGTGTGCAGAGATCTTGATAATGCTTTAATTAGCCGCGCCTTTTTTGGCTCAACTGGCATCAATTGAAAATCGTGCACTTGGCTTTTAAGGATCGCAAAGTCTTTTGAACGACCCCTGTAACAATACAACATGCTTCAATTTTTGAAATTTTGAATAAAAATTATGCAAACTAGTTGGGAGAAAACGTGTTCTTTCATACCCAAACAGCATGAGCCTTGTCAGCCAACTTCAGTTGGGGGCCATAGAATATCACCCAAGTGAGTCTAGGCTACCCAGGACTCCAAAAATGGGCTTGGTACCACCCTTGAAAGGAGAAAAATTTAAAAACTTAGAGAGAACTCTTGGTTTTTACATCAAAATATTTTACACAATGTCCATGTTGATAAGTATTGTTAACAATGCAAGAGATAAGCATGCAGATGGCCTTCAAAGCTTCAAAGTCGCCAAATACGGGCCAACCCCCCCAACGTGGTCCGAACATTGCCTTTCAAATAAAGTTGGTATAGGACACGCTCGTTTGAATTGTTTCTCCAGCCGCCCAACCAAAACAACATGTTTTAAAATAAACATTATATCATTATCCTTTAAGTTTTGTGATTACTTTAGTGAGTGCATATTTCCTGACTTTTCTTGTTTCATATAATGCCGGGACCCTTGCTCGAGGCAAGACAATAACGACCTTCCGGTGCACAATAATAGCAAGACTTGAAAATTTAATTATTTTTATTTTTACTCAAAAATTCAAAAATGTGCCTGTAAATAGTAAGCATTACTCTCCAAAACTGTAGTGTTTACGCACGAAGCTCCTCTAAGGCTAAGTGACGTTAACTTAGTCATTAATTGCTAAGAAAGCCTGCTGTAGACAACATGTTACCTAGTTGTTTGTTTTCTCTATTGTATTTGCCTCCACGCAAACATTTTAAAACTTAGAGTCATGATGTAGAACAAGAATGCAATTTGTTATAAACCGCAGTACATTGAATACCCTAATAATGTTAGGTTTTTAAAATTTAAGAAATATCAAAAACTAACGTTTCTATAACGCATGCGCAAATGCATTCATTTAGAATATTATTTTTCAACACTTGAATTGCATGAGATAAATACATTGCTACAGGCAGCTGGGAGTATCCGAATAAAAGCTGAGAATATTTTGAAAAATATTTGAGAAGATTTTTAATTGAATGTACTACTTAAAAAGTACTTAAGTCAAGATTTGTTGCTTATTTGATTATCAGAACTAAAATCCAAATCCAAACAAGCGGTCATGCAAGCTGCGCAATGTTCGCACATGCAGAGCCAAGCACGATACGCCTACATCATTCACGTTTTCTCATTAAAGGTTTATTAAAGAGTGTGAACAACATCCCGTAGTTGTTTTGGACTGTGTGCTAATTATGTCTTATTAACGACACTAATTTAGAGCAAGGCATGAAAAGGTAGATTCAATACTTATTAAATGTTGTGGTTTACAAAAAGGACAATAACATTTGTGTGCGGGATTCTTTTCTTCTACAATTGTTTGTTGTGCTTGTCATTGCAGTCTGACCGCTCAAGTTGCATTGTTTTGTAGAGATCAGGGTTTGTTTAAACCTGTGTTAGAAA